TACTTTGCAAAATCTTGCCAACAAATCTGGGTGTGTATAAACCAACCTTTTATACCATTTATACATCACATCTGAGGTGAAATAGTAGTAAGAGGCACCGTTTTTATCATGCAGACCTCGGACAGAAAGCAGCATTTCACAATACAAATTTGCACTCATTCAATATTCAGGACGATGGAAGTACGTGTGGGCTTTCAGCTAAACTGTTAAAAAAATTTCCAAAATCACCTATACTGCCATTCGGTTCTCACTTTTGTAGTGCGTGCTGTGGTGAGTGTTTCAATTACCATTAACAGAGTTATACTCCAACATAATAAAGAATTTATTATGTTTATTTTTTATGTAATGGTTTAATGCGTGGCATTTTGAGTACTCCTGCAAGCAATGTTCACTGAATGACTGAAAACAATCGGCACGGCAATTAAAATTACAAGAGAGACCACTAACAATCAATAAAAGAAATATAATTCAGTGAAACATACCCAGAGACAACAACTTTCATTCAGGAACACAAGTATTAAAGTGTCCGTAAAAAATCCTGAGTCTTCAAGCTTGAAGCTTAAGTTTATGTTTTGAGCCGGCTTCCCAGCCGGTTTGCTTTTTTCAAAGACAAACTCGAGGCAAGAAAATCGCTCAAAGCTTTCTTTTACAGCCAGAATTATAACTAAATATTCTTTGGAACGTTTTCTTTCTATTGCGGTGAGAAACTGTCTAAAGGCTTTTTAAAGTTGCGTAAGCTTATATCAAACCTGATACTCAGTCAGATCATTGTCTCAAATCTTACAAACGTGCACAAACTAAATACCCGCATAAACTATGCTCGACTTCATTAAATTAGATACAAAAAACAAACATCAAATACAATAATTACTCTGGCTTACCATTCGAGATGCAGTTCCTAAAAGGTATCAAGTAAGGCCAGTATCGCTTCAGACTTAATTTGCAACCCTCTTACACATCAAGGAAGGTGAAAATGAAAACGATGCCATCCCAAATCGGATTTCCAACTTTGACAAGCGATGTATTTCTCAACCAAAATCCCAATAAACAAACTAGCCGTGAATNCATAAACTATGCTCGACTTCATTAAATTAGATACAAAAAACAAACATCAAATACAATAATTACTCTGGCTTACCATTCGAGATGCAGTTCCTAAAAGGTATCAAGTAAGGCCAGTATCGCTTCAGACTTAATTTGCAACCCTCTTACACATCAAGGAAGGTGAAAATGAAAACGATGCCATCCCAAATCGGATTTCCAACTTTGACAAGCGATGTATTTCTCAACCAAAATCCCAATAAACAAACTAGCCGTGAATAACAGAAGACTCCTGACAGCAGCTGAATTTTATTTTGTACATCCAGTGGAAAAGACAGTTAAAAACATCACAAGTTACAGAAAACTGTGTCAGCTTCAGCTGTAAAAGTAAATGAGATTCAAGATGCTGCATAAATTTAGGGCATGACCTCACCTGTCAAATTTTGACCAATCAGAGCATAAAAATTGGACGTAGAGTGTGACCAATGCATGACCATGGTGAGAAAAGTCAAAGGCAACTGTCTTCCCTGCCTGTAACAGCTGGCTGAATTTTCGCTTCTGAGGTCAGTTTGCAATCAAAACTTTAATTGCGCGGCACATAAACAAAACATATTTCATATGAATTCAAAAAAAATTGATCTTGAGTCTGCGATCACTTGAAAACTAGTAACTTGTCAGCGGATGACTTAAAAAAAAACTTGACCTCGATGGGTTGACACCTGAGACTGCGATACAGTCAAGTGATACTGGTCAGCGGGTACCCTGTTTTGACAGCTGTCAATTGATCAAAACATTGACGTCCAATATGTGTGCATTATCAGTTTTCTTGTGCTCTCAAACTAGCTAAAAGTATGAGATTGAACATTGTTCACGATCTAGTAAAACAATTAACTGGTCAGCGGACAGCTTCCAAATAAACACGTCACCTCGATTAGCTGACATATGAGCCTGCGATATGGTTATGGGATACTGGTCAGTGGCTATCCTGTTTTGACAGCTGTCAATTGACCATAATGTGAATGTTCTACATTAAAGATGTGGACTTGGCAATACACGCCTGAGACACCCCTCCCTTCCTTTTGATAGTCTCCCTTACCCCACCCGTAAAATCTGTAGACGCGTACGTATGTAGGTACGTACGTACGCTCGGTCAAACACGTGATAACCAAATGAAAAGAGGTTGTGGGAGCCCTGCTAAGATGACTCAATGAGGGATAGCTGTCAAAGGGAACAGCGGATTTTGTCGCTTGTCAAAAAGCTGTCGGCACTTTTAGAAGTTTTGGTATTTACAAAATTTTCCAATTTTTTTGCAAAGGCCAAATTCCATTTTTTTTTCTTGTAGTGTGAACAGGTTCAGTTTTTTGTCAATGTTAATTATGTTGCAGAGTGTATGCCATAGTGGTTAAAGTACAAACCAGGGTTTAGCAATGACAGAGCAAGCAAGAAAGAAGAAAAAGGCCATTTGCACGATGACGTCATTTTACAACCTGAATCCTTCAGGGTTTTGCTATCTTGTACAAATTAGGGCTTTTGATCTCGCTGGGATTTTTAAATTCCAAAAAATATATATGAAAGGAAAAAAACACAAAAGGGTCCTGGACATGTAGTAAAATAACACCACCATGCAAATGCACAGCATTTGGTGATAAATAACCCTAAACAAAATTATTTAGTCATGTATAAAGGGTTTCTAGGGTGCTTTTCATTATGCCAAAATTTTTGGAAATTTTGATCCAAAAATAAATGGAACGCTTTGGTCCACGAGAAAATTCTCTAGTCAAAGTGGATCACCTCCAGAGGTGGTCCTCTTTGACCAGTCCGTCCTTGCCATTCCATTTCCAAAAATTCTCGATACATGTCCTACTTTGCCAAAAAAATGGTCAGAATTTTGGTCGAAATGTAAATGGCCTCTTGATTCTCTTCGAAATGTCATCTCATTTTCTCTTGATAATTCCACTGGTTTCTAATCGGTTGTTTTGGTAAAAGAGAAAGCACCCAAGGTGTACTACATGTACTTTCAAGCACCACCACTCCTCCACTAAAATGCACATGACAGTGTTGCGTGACGAACAGCACCAGCATTGTTGTGCCATTGTAGCAGTATTCAAAATATTTCATGCAATAAGAAAACATTGTACAACAAATGCATAAGCCGTCGAAAAAGATGCAATCGTGATAAAATTCGCCTAAAACTGATCAAAGATTGATATTCGACCGTTAAAGATGTCAAAAGTTGACACGGTATGTTGGGCGTGAAGTATAAACATATATTGCAGATGTTACAAACCAGAGGTCAAGCGACGAATGACCCAAAAATCATGCTAAAAAAGCCTTTTGACTCGTCTTTTAGAGCAGATTTTAAAGTAAGAACATTTCAAAACAGTTTTCTGTCTGCTTATTTTAACCTAATGTGGGTTTAGAGAAGTGAGGGGACTAAATTTTATGTCCGACTGGCAATTTCAAAGTTGACCTCAGAAGGTCAAATATCTGCATTTTTGATAGATTTTGTAAAGCTCTCGCCTCACTATTTATCATTTGCCCAAACAAATTTTTTTTAGGAATCTGTAGACCATCCTTCTAACCCTCAACCACTAGCACCTTAATCAATTTGAAGGTTTGCACATGGTGAAAATTATGCTGAAATCCTGCTATGAGGAATTTGGAGCCGACTTCACCCAACATCTGTATGTCCTGGAGGTCAATCCCATCAAAGGCATAACCCCATAATGAACGTGGAGAACACAATCATGTGCTAAAGAGAATCGCCACGTGTACTCGCAGTGGCAACAATATAGACCTCCATTACCAGGCTTTTGTTGAAGCAATGCCGGTCTAACAACATACACAGCTCTCACAGGAAGAGGGTAGCAATCTGTGGTTGATGCTGAATGGCTGCTTTCATACTATGCGGCTAGATGTTTCCAACAGAAAGGTCATGAGAATGAGTATCAGTATGTCAAAATCGTTGCCCAGTGGCACGATTCATAAGATGGAAGGAGAATAACGCAGCTGCAGAGACGTGACAATTAGGAAATGTTGAACTACATTCTGGATGAGTGGTAGCCTGAATAATCGGCACTTTATGAGCCATGCAAGGTGAACATGGTATTTTGCATGATCCCCTTGTATCACGATTTGTACTCACCTTGTGCTTCGCGCAAAATGCCGCATTCGCCTCACTTGGCTTATAAAGCGCCTGTTATGCAGGCTAGATGAGTGGATGCCCTGGCATAGGGAGAATTTCGACTGATTGATATCAAAAGGTACAGTCCACGTTGTATTAACTTATTTACATAACACAAAACAGGCCAATTGGATGTAGATTGACTATTCATGAGGGTTTTCAAAATCTAAATCTACATTAGAAAAAATACCTTCTAAATAGTGAATCTCTATCCAAGTTTAAAGGCTAACAGACAACTTAGCCACCACATCTAAACCAAGTTGAAATTTAACATGTGGTAATACTTGACCACGCAGGCAATCACTACCAATTCATCCTTATTTCTTTCTCTTATTATTATTACTCGTCTCAGGGTCCTCTAGGTCAAAATCGTAATTTATTAAAATTGCGCAAACAAAACATCCACACATGCCCATTTCTACCAAGAAGAAGCTTGGTAGCATTTGACGAAATTGCTACTTACATTTTTAAAGAAACATTTGAAGCCAAAATTAACACTTAAAAGAGTCTTAAAAAGACAAACAAATCGTCAGCAAATGTATTTAGAAGAAGAGATCTATCATCGAGTGAGTTAAGAATTATGAAAAAGTTGTCACAGAACAAGAGCTTGGCATTTGACCATTGATCGCAAAACCCGTGCTTTCAAAAATCAACACCACTGGATGCGCTAGAGGCCCTCCTAAACGAAGAGTCGACCTCCTGTGAAACTACTTCCTGGGAAGTCCCATCAGGTCCCATGTTTTCACTGTCTGCAAATCTTAAGTCTCTCGGTGCAATGGCCGAGTCTATGCTTGCCATGAATCAGTTACTAAAATGTCTTTGCTCTGAACCCAGCAACGCTACTGAAGATGATCCTGCCTGCAAGACCTGTTCTATGGATGCTTTGAGTGCTTCAGAAGACGATGGAGAGGAACCTGACAAGGACATCACAGCCTTTTGTGGCAACACAGCCGATGGCACCCCCAACAAAAAACGTGCTTGAATAGAGCAACCAGACAACAATGACCCATTGTTGTTGGAAATCATGGAAAATTTCCTTGACGCTGATGAAATGGGTCCAGCCATCGACAAAAGTTTGCCAACTTTGTTAACAGCCAGTGGTCCAAAAAATTATTGTAGTCCTAACTTAAGGATAAGGTGATGAAATATTTACTGTGAGACTCTCATAACTCAGTGGGACAACCCTGAAATTTGGGATAACATGACCAACCCAGTGATACTACATGACCTGTGATCCATGCAGAAAACTATTGGCACCATGGTTCTGTCTTGTGAAAATCTATAGAGCTCCTGCTAAAAAATGAAGAAGTCAACCGGTCAGGTCAGACACTGACACTCAGACACTTGTAAAAATGAACGCTGATGCAATTGCTCTTCTAGTTCATGCTCATATCAAGCTGTCCCACAGCCATAGGGAAGGGATTAAACTGCATCTGCACAAGGACTTCGCAGAGCACTGTTCCAGTAACAACTTTTTTGTTCGGAAATAATTCGCAAACCCAGCTGAATGATATATGAACCTCCAACAGAACAAATACAAGTGCTGTTGGAAGTTGAAGCACAAGCACTTTTGCTAAGGGACCCCCTTCACGAAACTACCACAAGTCTGGCTGCAGTGACAAACCTTTTTCATGGAAGAGCCACCAGTGGAAAACAGATTGACGCCTTCTTTCCGTCAGCAGGATCAAGGGAAGAAACAATATTGATTTCCACTGACACAATAACAAACCTTCAGGTAACTAATCTTCCATTATCTATGCCCAACCACTTTACGTAAATGATAAGGCGCACAGTTTCAATAACTATACAAAGGCTCTGACCCTTGGAATGAAAATATTTGTTCTTGGTAATTTAAACTGTGATCTATTGAGGAGCTGTCGTGAAGGAAACACTTTGAAGAAATTGTACACCTTAAACCTTACTCAGCTTGTAACTTCACCAACCAGAGTTACATTTCAATCATCTTCCATTTGCAAGGAAACCAGAGTGGTTGAGTGCCACATTAGTGATCACTATCTAACTTACAGCGTACTTAATCTCAAGCTACCCAAACCACCTCCAACTGATATCATTACTGGGAGATTTCAACGATATGATGCGAGCAAGTTCTTACAAGACCTAAAACGACTTGCATGGATGGAAAATTCGATGATTGGTGACATCAGTGAAAGAGTTGACCATTTTAACCAAAATGTTCTTTGTTTGCTAAATAAGCACACTCCAGTTAAGAAGGTTAAGATGAAGTATCGTCAATGCCCTTTCATGGACAAACAATTGAAACAACATATGACAGAAAGAGATCAGTTGTTGAGGATTGCCAAAGAGACCAACTCGCCCCGCGATTGGCAAACTTATCGTGCGAAGCACAATAAGGGCAAGGTTCTTCTTCGTGAGGCTGAGAGAGAACTTGTTCAATCACCATTTATTTCCTGCCAGAAAAATAGTTCTGAATGGAAGGTCATCAGAAACTGTATCCCTCGAAAGGAGTCAACACGGGCAGTGTGCTCGAGGGATGTAATGATCATTGCGAACAAATTTAATGAATTATTTTTCACTGTGGGAGCTAGGGCAGCTGAAGCATCTGCGTCCCTGGCCGTGACCCATGATCTCGCAACGGTAACTTCATCAAAGGTCTCTGATCAAAATACACCTGAATCAGATAACTTTCATTTTCAAGCAGTCTCCGAACATGAAATCAAAAGGATTTTTCTGTCCTTTCAGTCCAACTAGGCTCCTGGGTACGATAAAGTTCCCATGGCTGTCATTAACGACCCTTTACCATGTATCTTACCAGCATTAACTGACATTGTGCACCGTTTTTTGTTATCTTTGGTATTTCCCGCTTCTGGAAAATATCAGAGGTCATTCCACTTCCAAAAAATGGTCACCGTAAGTTAGCAATTAGCAATTGCCCTGTCTCTTTGCTTCCACCTATATCAAAGATATGTGAGCCGCCCTAAATCAATTCGTTGCATATATGAAACGCAAGGAACGTTTAACTAAACATCAAAGTGGGAATAAAGCTCCACATTTAACTGAGACAATGAATGTTATGATGACAGACAAGTTTCTGGAAGCGGTGAACGAGAAGATGCTGACACTTATGGTCCTTTTGGACCTGTCCAAAGCATTTGACAGTATAGACCATGCCAAACTATTGGTCAAATTGAGCTCGTTGGGGATGTCTAGTTCAGGAGCTATATGCATGATCGCCAGAAGTATATACGAATTGGCTCTGAAATGTCTGGAATATGTAGATCAACACATGGAGTTCCAGAAGGATCCAAATTGGGGCCGGCGTGCATCGATGCATTATTCTCTGACGAAGAGCTGGCTAACAGCAACACGTCTGGTAGTAACGGATACAGAGAACTTGATAATCTGAAACTTCGATTTCTGCTGTCAGTGCCTTGCCAGAAGTATGAATCCTCAATGTTCATGAGGCAGTGGGAAGACGTGAAGTCAAAAATAAACACTCTGTGTAGGGGTAAAAGGAGAACTGTTCAACATAGACTACAGAAGCAAGTGAATTTTTAAACAGTATACTTGTCAGCGATAGTTTTTTTTCTTTAAAATATTCTGTGAAGTCGACAGCAGAAGTATTTCATGTAAGAAAGTAGAGTAAGGACACAATTCACTTTGCCATCAGTACACTTGTCAGCAATAGCTATTTTAAACTGTTGTGTAGGATTAAAAGCGTATCATCTAAGAAAATAAAATAGAATTTTGCTAAACATAACTGCTTAATGTCGAGAAGAGTTACTTCTTTTTGAAGTCATTTGTTCAGATTCCTCCCCTTTTCAAGCTGTTTTTTTTGTGTACCATCTTTTAAATGAAAGTAAGGAACAGCTGGAAGAAGTTCGATGGTTTATAATGGCTTTTTCTTTCGTTAAACTTCAGTCTGATCTTATGCTTTGCATGCCGGGGACTATCCAGCGCTGGCATGTCATTCCATAAGTGAGTAAGGAAATCGCATGCATGTCATATATCACACTAGGCGTGACTTATAGCACACTACTTAAAACAAAAGCTTCAGCGTGCCAAACAAAACCTATCGTGACAGTCTTAGTTTTACCTATTTAATATGCACGTATGCGTATGTTGTGTCATAGCACGCATGCCCATGTCATCACCTTTTTACCTAAAATCCTGTGGAGGGTCACAAATAACTACGATGAACAAATAATAAATAGAAGCGGGCCTAAACAAGAGCCTTGAGGGGACCCACAATTAAGGTCGAAGCATCCAGAAAGTGTTCCGTTGATACATACCCGCTGACTACTATTAAACAAATATGATTTGAACCAGGTCAAAACCTTCCCCAGGAGCCCGACTTTCTTTTGCATTCTATTGACAAGGATATCATGGTTGACAGTGTGAAATGCCACACTAAGGTCTAATAATACAAGAAGAGTGACACATTGTGAATTCATGGAATGCATGATGTCATTCATAACCTTCAACAAAGCTGTTTCAGTACTGTGACAAGCACAATATGGTAACTGTAGAACTGGATAGATGTGGTGCCGAACCATGTGTCTATGAGTTTGTTTGAATATGGCCCTTTCCACTAACTTACTGGAGATTACGTAATGAGGATTACTAATGGGTCTGTCATTTTTATAAGACAAGTCGAGGCCAGGTTTTTCCAAAAAAGGATTAACTACTGCGCACTTCTATTCATCAGTAAAGTGACCAGACATTAAAGATGTGTTTATCATTTTTGTCAGGAATGGAAGTAGCTCATCTAGGCAGGTCACAAAAAGAGATGTTGGAATAGGATCAAGCATGCACGTTTTCTTAGCAGAGCTAAGAACCAGATCTCGTACATTGGTTTCTGTCAATTGCGAAAATGTTTGCATGGTAACAAGAGACTCACCTTCAAATTCTCTGATTTTTTGCAATTGTTGGAGAAATCGCAGAAATTGCAGAAAACCCAGCTTTTGCTGGGCACCCTTCTACCTCCTCTAACACTTGACTTAGTTTTAACAAAAACTGTGATTTCTCCACTTTTTCGCACTTTTTGCTACTGCATGTAAACTTGGACACATCTCTCAAAGCAATCAATTGTTTCCTCTGGATCTGGAAGCTCTATAGCAACAATTTAAATTTGGGAATCTTACCTTGCCATGTTTCAGTATAAAGAAGACAAAAATACCTATGAGCTAAGGTAAAACTTATGGTGCTTTTCAAAAACAAACAACAAACCTTGAAACACATCCACCAATCACAAACTACGACCTTTTGTTTCACGAGAGGTTCGCTAAGATGTAAAGCTGAGAAAGCAAAGAAACTGCCAATTCTTCAGATTTCAATTGATGTCGCAGAAAAAACTAATATCCAAAGACGTTTGTGACATCACAGGTAGGGTGTTATCCAAAAACAGCTGTAAAAGCATCGATTATTTGAATTGGATTCTGTGACTTTATGATCTTATGATCTTATTTTGAATTAATGTTATGAATGAGTAAACACGAAAGAAATGGCATAGATATTGTTTCTTAAACATTTTTTATTCAAAACCCACTCATTTATCCTTCCAAGAACTTCACGTGACACTTACTGGATTGTGGATCCGTTCAAGCAAGTAAAATTGGCTGAGCACATGGCCCAAAGCAAAATCCATCTCAAATCGGGGTACATTTTCCGTTTTTTCTAAAACTGAACGTTCAATCTATGATTGTCCCAAAATTCCTGCATGAAATTGAAGCAGTAGCTATTTGTTTTGCTATGGAGCGTGGGTGCAGATAGAGTCAGTAAAACTTCAGAGAAAGTGTGCGTGCACGGATAAAACTGGTTCATCCCGTATGAAACTCGTCTGACTTATCCAAATCGCTGGATGATTGGCAAACCAAAGGAATTTGAAGGTGTCGGCAGAGTCGCTTCCTCTTTCCCGACTTATTTAGGAAAGATCGAAGCCTATGCTGAAGATTGAATTTGGAGATGGGGCATAAAAACTAATAAAGCAGATCTCAAATCTAAGCACTAAGTTATAAACTGAACTAAAGTTTTTATGTGACAGGTGCCAATATGGCTGCCACACTTTTCGCTGCTCTTGTTGGTTTTATCTTCTTTACCTGCTTTGGACGAAAGCAACAGCTCTCCGGAAAATCTACCATAACCAGAAAACACTGGTAGCTTATTCCAGAGTCGACTAGACTCTCTCTTACACTTCATTGCTAGAGTTCAGTTTGCTAGTTCTTCTCAGAGGAGGATTCGACGAGCCATTGTGGCATGGAAGACCTGTGGGTTGACTTTCAAGGCAGCTCCAGAAAAAAGGATACTCTTAAACATCACTATCTACTGCGATATTGAACTGAATCCGGGTCCAGAACTTTTATCCATGGCTGCAGCGAATCTAACTAAAGAATCTAACTGTCATAACTGCAATGACCTTCATCCTTAAGAGCACAGCCTTGTTCAGCGAATCGTTATGAGTCGTGATAACTTGCTATCACATCGCAAGTTTGGATAGAAACCTCCTATGGAAGCTATGATTACTTGTAAAGCTTTGGGGATCCTTAAATACAGAGGCAAGCGAGGTGGCCAATGCAGGAGACTACGCGCCTGCTGTCTCAACCGCCAAGAACAGAACATCAGTGTTGTTACTGGCAACGGAGAGGGAACGTATAAGATGAGAGTTAAGCCATTAGCTGGAGAAAGATGCCTTGTATATATACCTTGCTGGCGGGTTTTAAATGTACCGGTACTATCTCCTCTATACATCACCCATTGCTGATATCATAAAGTTCCACAAGCTACAGTATCATTTATACGCTGATGATACCCAGCTGTATATATCGTTTAGAACTGACTGTAGCTATGATCTTTCTTTGGCTAAGCGTCGTGTTGAATGCTGTGTAAACGACGTTGATTGTTGGATGGTGAACAATGGTCTTAAACTGAACTTGTTCTCATCAGCTCGAAATTTCGTTGGAGGCCTTCTCTAGAGTTTATCCAAGTGGTTGATGAGAAGATCCAACCAAAACCTTCCGCCCGAAATCTGGGGGTGATTATAGATCAGTGTCTTGATTTAACTGACCATGTTAACA